TAAAGTGCCGTTTGCTGCTGCTGCTGCTGCTGCTGCTGCTGCTGCTGCTGCTCTTGGTGTTGCTGCTGCTGATGCAGTACGTAGCTGCAGAGACGCTCCAGCCCGACATATCATCTTCTTCAGCTCCCGCTGCAGGCCTTCTCGCGTGCACTGCAGCAGCGCTTGTGTCCAGCTGCCCCCCTGCTGCTGCTGCTGCTGCTGTGTGGGAGGAGCAGCAAATGTTGAGGTCTCTGGCAGATACACGAGCCCTTTTGAGAGCGCCAGCAGAGTACGTACAGCGGGAGCAACAAAGTCAACCGGCAGCAGCAGCTGCTGCAGCAGCAGCAACAGCTCTGCAGCAGCAGCCGCACGAGAATCATCCGACGCAGAGGCAGCAGCAGATTCAACCAGTTCAAGCAGCAACATTGACTTTGTGCCGAACAGCAGTTCCTTTTGCTCTTGCTGCTGCTGCTGCTGCTCTTGCTGCTGCTGCTGCTCTTGCTGCTGCTCTTGCTGCGGCTCTTGCTGTTGCTGGTCTTGCAATGACTGCAGTTGGGAGTCCAGCCGTCTTTGCTGCTCCTGCTGCTGTTGCTCCTGCTGCTGCCGCACAGCTGCAGCAACTTTACGCCACGCTGCGACGGCCGCCTCCGCAGCCTCGGCTGTCTGGCTTTCAGAGGCCCCACACATTCTGCTGCTGCTGCTGCTGCTGCTGCTGCTTACCCTGCCGACGACTGCGACGTCTCGGACTCCCACTGTAGTTTGATTTGCCCAGTCAAAGAAGCCCTGAAGTAGTAAGACACACAACGCCCACCCAGCAAACCGTGACACAGCTGCTCCGCTGCAGCAGCAGCAGCAGCTCACCAGCAGCAGCAGCAGCACGCCAGAAGCAGCAGCAGCTGCAGCAGCAGCAGCTGCAGCTGCAGCAGCTGCAGCAGCAGCAGCCCTGCAGCAACAGCAGCCGCTTGTTTGTAGCAACAGCAGCCGCTTGTTTGTACTAGCAGCAACTCTCCAGCGGCAAAGACAGCAGCTTTCCAGCAGCAAAGGCAGCAGCTCTCCCGCAGCAGCAGCAGCAGCTCTCCAGCAGCAGCAGCAGCTCTCCAGCAGCAGCAGCAGCTCTCCAGCAGCAGCAGCAGCAGCAGTTTGCCACACCTGCAACTCAAGCAGCCTCCTCACTGCAACCCCTGGGGCTGCTACGCTGCGGACGCATTCCCTGAGCCGTTCTGCTGCCATTCCATTTCTGTAGAAACCGCAGCACTAAACACTAAACCCTAAACCCTAAACCCTAACCCTAAACCCTTGCCAGGGGTTTCAGCAGCAGCGATGTGTCCCCAAGCAGCAAGACCCACCGCTTGCTGCAGCAGCCTGAGAAGAAGCGCCTCAAACTTTCAAAGTGCTCGTCAGTTGCGCCGCTAATGACCAAGTCTGCTGCTGCTTCCGCTGCTGCTGCTGCTGCTGCGCTGCTGCTGCTGCTACTGTCGCACTGCAGCAGCTTCTGTGCCAATTCAGAAGCCTTTTCTCTCACCATCGGCTCCTCGTCTGCTGCTGTCGCTGCTCGCAAAACGAAGTCCCTCCACGTGCTGCAGATGCTGCTGACTAGTGCAGCAGCAGCAGCAGCGGTGGCTTCTTCTGCAGCTGCAGCAGCACCTTCTGTTTGCTGCACTGCCGGCAGCAGCTGCAGTTCTTGGTGTTGCTGTTGCTGCTCCTCATGCTCCTCAGGTTGCTGCTGGTCCGTGCGCTGCAGCAGCAGGTCATCCGCCTGCGGCAGTTGCTGCTGTCGCTGCTGCAGTTGTTGCTGCTGCTGCTGCTGCAGCTTGTGTACTGCGGTGGCAGCAAATGTGTGCAGCGCGCTGATCGCCTGCCTCCTCACCAGCACTGAGCTGTCTTTACACCTCTCTGCTGCCTTTTTCCAATTCAACAGCAAAAAGAGTCCCCAGCCTTCATGTCCTGCTGCAGCAGCAATCGACTTCTCTGCTGCTGCTGCAGTTGCTGCTGCTGCTGCTGCTGCAGCTGCCTCGTTCTCGCTCTCCTCCTCAGGAGACTCTCCAGAGAGAGCGGGAAGAGGCCCCGGCTGCACCGGCAGCTGCTGCAGCAGCAGCAAGTGCTGCAGCAGCAGCGGCAGCAGCTGCTGCAGCGCCAGCAAGGCGCCTCTCCGCACAACAGTTTTGCTGTGCTCCAAGCAGCTGACCGTGAGCCCTTCTAACAAAGAGGGCCGCAGCAGCAGCAGCAGCAGCTGCTGCTGCTGCGCCTTCCGGTGCTGCAGTGTCCGGGCTTCTGCTGCCGCCGCTCCTGCTGCTGCTGCTGCTGCTGCTGCCTGCGTAGCTGTTGCAGCACGCAGCAGGACGCCGCAAACTGAAGGCAGCGCCTCAATGGCCCTGGCACGAATCAAAGGCTGCCGGTCTTCAAGTGCAGCAGCAAACGGCAGCAGCAGCTGCTGCAGCAGCAGCACCCCTCCGCTCTCTCTCTTGTCCTCCAGCAAAGGCTCCAGCAGCAGCGCGCCCCTTTCAGCAGCCTTACCGCCGTTCCCTTTGTCAAGCCTGCTGCTGCAGCTGCTGCTGCTGCTGCTGCTGGCAGCAGGTGCATGCAGCAGCTGCAGCAGCAACTCCACCCCCAGCAGGCGCTGGCCCAAGCGGGAGGCTCGCAGCAAAGGAATGAGAATGAAACGCAAAAATCTCTCGAGCACTCTGCGGCGCCTTCCCTGCTGCTGCTGCTGCTCTTGCTGCTGCTGCTGCTCCTGCTGCTGCTGCTGCTGCTGCTGCTGCTGGAGTTGCTGTTGCAGGTGCTGGTGCTCCTGCTCAAGCTTGTCCAGCAGGCTGCAGCTGCTGCTCTTCAGCTGCAGCGCCTCCTGCAGAACGCAGCACCTGATGATGGCGCAGCAGGCTGCTGCTGCTGCTGCTGCTGCTGCTGTGCTGCTCGGCAGACAGCCAAAACAGAAGCTCCCCAGAAACGCCACAAATGGGTCTGCAGCCAACTCGCGCTGCTGCTGCAGCTCCGACAGCCTCTTCAGTTCTGCTGCACTGGGGGCAGCAACAGCAGCTGCTGCTGCTGCTGCTGGTGAAGTAGATTCAGTGTTGTCTGTGCCTCCACATAGCGCCGCTTCTTCTGGGTCCACGTCAGCAGCAGCAGCTGCTGCTGCTGCTACCCTGAGGTCCTTCAAGTCAGCCAGGCGGGCCTGCAGCAGCAGCAAGGGGTGCAGCAGCAGCTCTGGCAGCAGCAGCTCTCCGCATCCTGACACAGCCTGCAGCACTAAGTCCACAAGCCGCTGCTGCTGCTGCTGCTGCTGCCGCTGCTCGCTGCCCCCATAAGATGGTGGAGCTGCAGTACCTGCTGCTGCTGCTCCATCGGCTGCTGCTGCGCTTGCATCAAGCTGCTGCTGCAGGTGCTCTTGGAGGAGCCGCGGCAGCACTGACAGCAGCACATCGCTTGCTGCTGCAGCAAGGCAATCTACATTAGGTCCTCCCTGGTAGAGGGGCAGCAGAAATAAAAGTTGCTGCTGCTGCTGCTGCTGTTGCTGCTGCTGCTCATGCTGGGGCATGAGCAGCTCGTGCTGCCATTGTTCTTCTGCTGCAAAAGCTGGCTCATCTAGTGCGGCTGACCCTGGAGCCAGCCGCTGCTGCTGCTGCTGCTGCATCGGTTGCTGCTGCTGCTGCTGCTGCTGCTGCTGCAGGTGTCTCGTACGCAGCTCCTTGACGCGAAGCAACAGCAGCAGTGGCAGCAGCAGCAGAACCTCCCTGTAGACAAAAGACAGGCCAGAGCAGATGCAGCAGCAGCTGCCGCGGGTCTAGGGTTTAGCAGTCGAAGGGAACCCTTAGGGTTCAGGGTTTAGGGTTTACGGTTTAGGGTTTAGAGCCTGCGCCTGCCTTGTGAACCCCTGAGTCTTGCCCACGAATTCCATTACATGCCGCAGCAGCAGCCGAAGGGCCTCTCTGTTGCTGCTGCACGACAGACTTTGCTGCTGCAGCTGCTGCAGCAGCAAAGCCAGGTGCAGCGACACAATCGCCGCAAGGGAAGGGGGCTCTTGCTGCTGCAGCCAGCTAGCCAGCCGCGCCCGCTCCGCCTGCTGCAGCTGCTGCTGCTGCTCCAGCTGCTGCTGCTGCTGCTGCAGCTGCTGCTGCCAAGGAATGGCCCTTCCCAGCAGAGGCTGCTGCAGCTGCCGCAGCACCAGCTGCAGCAGCTGTCCCTCGAGCTCGGGCTGCTGCTGCTCCTGCCGGTCATTTACCTGCAGCTGCAAGTACACGAAAACACCCAGCTAGCCAAACCATAACAGCTAGCCAAGCCACAGCTAGCTAGCCAAGTCACAGCTAGCTAGCCAAGCCACAGCTAGCTAGCCAAGCCACAGCTAGCTTGCAAAACCAGCTAAGCAAGCCACGGCTAGCTAGCCAAGCCACAGCTAGCTGGCCACGACAAGGCTAGCTAGCCAAGTCACAGCTAGCTAGCCAAACCATAACAGCTAGCCGAACCCCAGCTAGCTAGCCCACCCACAGCTAGCCAGCCAAGCGACTGCTGGCTAGCCAAGCCATAACAGCTAGCCAAACCCCAGCTAGCTAGCCACTCCATAACAGCTAGCCAGGCTAGCCAAGCCACAGCTAGCTAGCCAAGACGCAGCTAGCTAGCCACGCCATAGCAGCTAATCAAGCGGCAGCTAGCTAGCGAAGACAAAGCTAGCTAGCTGAGCCCCAACAGCTAGCCAAGCTGCAGCTAGCTAGCCAAGCCATAACGGCTGTTCAGGCCATGCAACAGCTAGCCACACCCTGGCAGCTAGCCAACCCGTGGCTAGCTAACCTAGCTGCAGCCAGCTAGCCAAGCTGCAGCTAGCTAGCCAAGCCAGCTAGCCACATCCTTGGCTCGCTAACTGCGCCACTGCCCAGCTAGCTATGCGACTGTAGGCAGCGCCCACCACTCACCAGGCACTTACGACGCTGCTGCTGCTGCTGCTGCTGCTGTTGCTGCTGCTGCTGCTGCTGCTAGTACTTACCCCTAAAAACCTTAAATAGGCTATGGCTGCGTACTTCCCCCCAAGGCCTCCGCGCTGCATGCAAAGCCCGAGAGCAGCAGAAACGACCCGCCAGGCCCCCGGGGGAGCTGCTGCTTCAGACGCAGCAGCAGGTGCAGCAGCAGCAGCTGCTGCTGCTGCAGCAACTGCTTCGCGGATGTTTTCCCACCCCTGACGCTGCTGGCTGCAGTCTGCTGCCGACAACAGCAGCAGCAAGTCCGCCAAACGCTCTAGCGAAGGTGATCCGCTAGCAGCAGACGGAGTCTCATCATCTTCTGCTGCTGCTGCTGTTGCTGTTGCTGCTGCTGTTGCTGCTGTTGTTGCTGCTGCTGTGCCATAAAAGCACGTCTCCAGAGCTTCAGCCAACGGAAGCGCAGCAATGGCCTCCCCGATTTCTGCTGCTGCTGCTTCTTGCTGTAGGAGGCCTGAGACAAAGGGCGCAGCAGCTGCTGCTGCCAGCTGCAGCGCAGCAGCAGGTGCAGCAGCAGCAGCAGCAGCAGCAACCACCGCCTTCGCTCCTGTTGCTAGGGGCTCATAAAAGAAGCACTCAAATCTTGCTGCTGCAGCAGACACGCTGGGGGCCCCTCGAGGCAGCAGGGGGGGCCCCCCACCTGCTACAGCCTTCTTGGGGGACCCCCCTGCAGCAGCAGGGGCCCCTCTTCTGCTTCTGGGGGCCCCCCGCGTGGGATTAGTGCTGCTTTGAAGTTTGCGGACTGGGCTGCTGCTGCAGCTGCTGCTGCTGCTGTCGGTGGTGTCTCCTTCGCTGCTGCTGCTGCTGCTGCTGCTGCAGCGCTTGCTGCGCTTCCCACGCTTCTGGAGCCGCAGCAGAGGAGAGCCCTTGTGAGGGCTACCCTCCATTGTGACACGGCTGCTGCTGCTGCTGCTGCTGCGCCTGCTGCTGCTGCGCCTGCGGCTGTGCTGCAGGCCCTCGCTGCTGCGGTGTTCATCGCTGCGCGCTCCGCAGTTGCCGCTGCTGCTGCTGCTGCTGCTGGGAACTGCTGCCGTTAAAAACTCATAGGACCTTGAATGAGGCTCCTCGCTAGGCATGACTGCATGCCCCTAGACGAGCCTTGGCATTTTAGTTTGGTAAGTGCTGCTGCTGCTGCTGTTGCTGCTGCTGCAGGTGAGGGCCCTTCGCTGAAGCAGCCGCTGCTGCGGCGGTCCCCTCTTTGGTAGTCCCCAGCAGCAGGCAGCTGCTCTTGTGCAGAGGGATTCGCTGCAACAGCAGGAGCAGCAGCAGCAGCAGCAGCAGCAGCAGCAGGGGACCCCAGCGCTATGTGTTTTTTTGTCTGCTGCTGCTGGGGCCCCCCCAAGGAAGCTGGCTTGAGAGGGGGCCCCTGCTATTGTCTTTTAAGTTTTTATTTTTAATTCATTTTTTCAAATTTAAAAGATTTAGAGGGAAAGCATAGAAGAGTCGATGCGGCTGCTGCAGCTGCTGCAGCTGCTGCAGCTGCTGCAGGGTCACCAAAAGACCCCCTGCTGGGACACGCACTGGTGGGGTTGTTGTGTTTCATTTCCCGGGGCTCTCATTCTCTTTGTTATGTTTTATTTGTTTTTTATTTTATTTATTTCGTTTTTAGTTTTTTTAATTCAAAATTTTGAATTCATCAGGAAAAGAATTGGCCCAACTAAACCTGGCACGCATCACCAGCAGCTTAGGAGGCCAGCAGCAGCAAATCCCCAGCAGCAGCAGCAGCAGCAGCAGCAGCCGTTGATGGTATGCAAGAAGCTGCGCAGAGAGTACTTTGCTGGAGCCTTTACGGGCAGCGCAGCAGCAGCAGCAGCAGCAGCAGCAGCTGTTTGCTGCAGAGCAAAGTTGCGCTGCTGCCGCTCCAAAGGCTCTATTTCTGCGGCTCTTTTTTCAGTTGCTGCAATTTTTATTGAAAAAATAAATATTTTAATTTATTTTAATTTCTTATTTCGTTTTTTGTTTTTGTTTTGACTTATTTTGACGCTGCAGGTGCACAAGGCAGCAACTGCAGCCAATGAAATCTAAATGAGGCACTCCGGTAACAACAGAGGCACCAGGAGGCAGCAAAGGAAGAGGAAAACAAAATAAAACAAAATAAAGTAAAACAAATTTAATTCAATTTAATTTAATTTAATTTAATTCAATTTAATTCGATTTAATTCAATCTAATTCAATTTAGTTTAATTTAATTCAATTTGGTTTAATTGAAAAGAAAGAAAGCCGCTGAGAGCCTGCGTCACTCCCGTTACTCCTAGATGCCCACTAAACCCTAAACCCTCAATAAACCCTAAACCCTCACCAAACCCTCAAGAAGACGGAAACACAAATATTTATGTACATATATATACATATGTACATATGAATGTATATCTACAAATACATATCTACACAAATATATACATTTATAGGTATATATATATATATATATATGTATATATATATATATGTATACCTATATATGTATTGTGAATATGTGCATTTGGGCCGCACAAGGAAATACATATTTATATATTTTGTCTATATTTAATAATTTACATATTTTGTCAAACTTTAATATTTATACAGTTTATCTAAATTTAATATTTATGTGCGTTTTCCATATCAAATATTTATATATTTAACCCAAATTTGATATTTATATATCTTATCTGAATTTAATGTTTATACATTTTGTCAATCTTCAAACATAAATAAAAGTGTGCGGGAAAGTTGGGGCGTAAAGAGGAGCTGCGGGGGAGCTGGGGCTCCGCAAAGCAGCAGCCGCTGCTGCTGCAGCTGCTGCAGCGCAGCAGCCGCTGCAGCGCTAAGAGGCATGCATGCAGCAGCAGGCGAAACCCGCCGCAAAGACAGCAGCAGCAAAGGGCGCATGCACGCAGCAGCAACTGCTGCAGCTCTGGGGGCCCCCGCAGCAGGAACTGGGGCCCCAGCTGATGCTCACAGGGGGCCCCCGAGTGGGGGGCCCCCCTTGAGGGCTTGGGGGCCCCGGGGGGCCCCTTCTTTGGCCCGGGGGCCCTGGGGGCCCCCTCGTTAGACCTTGGGGGCCTCTGCTTCTCGCATTGTGACATCTCCAGTTTCTTGTTCAGTGAGTTCGGAAAACATAAATTCTCTTTGGTATTCCTGCAGCAGCAGAAGCAGCAGCAGCAGAAGCAGCAGCAAACAAAACGCGCAGCTGTACAGACACGCCGGCTGCATGCGCGCAGCAGCAGCAGCAGCGCCGGTCGTCGCCGCTGCTGCTGCTTCTCTCTTACTGCCACTGCCGCACTACTGCCACACCTGCTGCTGCTGCTGCTGCCTCAACTCTACTGCATTCTATTAGGCGCTGCTCCAGCGGCTGCCGCTGCCGCTACTGCTGCTGCCGCTACTACTGCTACACCTGCTACTGCTGCAGCAACTGCTGCTACACCTGCCGCTGCTGGTGCTACACCTGCTACCGCTGCAGCCACTATGCTGCTACACTTGCTGCTGCTGCTGCTGCCCCGCCTGCTGCTGCTGCTACACGTGCGGCTGCTGCAGCTCCACCTGCTGCTGCTGCCGCTGCCACAGCTGCTGCTGCTGCTGCACCCGCGACCGCTGCAGCTACAGCTGCTGCTGCTGCTGCTGCGCACCACGAGGTACTGGGTGCTGCGCTTGACGTCGAGGAAAAGGCTGTAGACCTTGCGGACTTCGTCGAGTCCCACGGAAGTTTTCTTTTTTCTCTTCGCCACCAAACTCGCCACTGTTATTAAGTGCAGCGCGTAGCGCAGCGAGCTGTCCAGTCCGACGCGGCACAGCAGCTGCTGCGCCTCGCCCTCCAGCTCCACGTCTTCCTCCTCCGCCCGCAGCTCTATTATCTGCGCACGCCCAAACCCTAAACCCTAAACCCTAAACCCTAGCCCTCGGCCCGCGGCCACGGCCAGGCCTGCAAACGGCGAGGGCGAACAGCCCGCACGCCAGCTGCACTTGGTAGTGCCTCGAACGCTCAAACAACATCCGCTCTCGCGGCTCCTGCTGCTCGTGCTGCTGCTGCTGCTGCTGCTGCTGCTTCTACTCGGGCTATTGCTACTCCTCCTTCTGCCGCTGCTACACTTGCTGCCTGCTGCTGCTGCACCAGCTGCTACTACTGCTGCCGCTACAACTGCTACTCCTGCGCTGCTGCTGCTGCTGCTGCTGCTGCTGCACCTTCATCATTTCGTGCTCGGAGTAGGGTTCTGTGGCGATGATGAGGGTTCTGTCGAGAAGGTCCAGCGGAACTCCGTGGGGAGATTTGTAGTCAGTGCCTCGAATGGTGGTGATGCCTCTGTTGGTGGCCATCACCACCACGGGGGCTGCTTCGCTCTCCAGAGCCCTGCGCGCCAGCAGCAGCAG